AGAACTACTTTGCTTTTCTTCACCAGCACGAAGCATGCTACAGATCTCTGTGAGAGACAAAAGGACTCATACACCACAGACCTAATAATGCCTCTGTGAATCTTCACAGTTTAGTTGTGATTCTTCAGTGCTCGCTCGCTCTCTCGTTCTCTCTCCCTCCATCCCTCTCTCTCCCTCCCTCTCTCTCTTTCTCTCTCTCTTCCTCTCTCCTGCTCCTTTTCTCTCTTTCTCTCCTGAACAATATAAGTTCTCTGGTATCAAATGAAAAAGAATTTAAAAAAATAACCCACCAATTTCCAATTTTAGTTGGCTTTTGAATTAGCTTTGGGAGAACTCTTTTTATTTGGTCAGTTCATTTTTTTCACAATTGGGGCAATCAGTCCTACAGTCTTTTGGATTCGGTCCATGAGGTGATGAAGAAAGCTAAATCAACCATTTTTTCAATTTGGTGTTTTTCAACTTACTGCAATTGCTTTTCTGTGAGATTTCAGGAAGGAAAATGCGGTGGTTTGATACTTACAATGAATTACCTGCACTCTCAGACACTACCAGGATAATTACAACATCTTTCACCTCCCAAGGACTGCCTTTCTAATTTCATGATTTTTTATTTTATCTTAGTTTTTGCTTCTAAGCTTCAGGGACATTCTAAGCATAACATATAGGTTGGACATAATATCGCTTTGACTCTCATTTTCCAATCTACTTTATAAATTACCATTATTCCTTTTTTAGACTGTTCATAAATATTTTTCTTGGGGCTTGAAAATTCTTATTTAGTCCTATTTTAAAGTTACATTTTGGGTAGCATAATCTATGTTAGTTGTGGCATAATTACATTCAGAAGTGTGAAAGAAGCTTATGGTCCCTTAAAATAATTTAGCTTAGTTTTCCTCTGATAAGTCTAAAATTAGTTTACAAATTGATAACTTCCCACCTTATTGGCTCTTAATAACTAATGGGATTCTAGTGTTTCAGATTATTTTGGCAGTGAACCAAATTCCTTCAAACATTTAAAATATTAAATATAGCAATGCTGAGATTTATTGCATCTATCTGCATATTGTATTCCTTGTGCTTATATTTAAAAAAATTTTTACTAGTTAGTCTCAAAATTATGTTTATTTCTAAGTGGCTCCTGGAAAAATTACCAGAGTCAGAATTAGCACTATCTTCAAAGACCACTGCCCCGTGTCCCTAATGTCCCATAGAAGGAGTTTCTGCAGGAAAAGCAGCAAATTTGCTCAGGACTTTCATCACAGATCACTCCTATGTCTCACCAGTCCACCCTCCATTAAAAAAGTTCTAGAGGGCCGGGGATTTAGCTCAGTGGTTCTGCCGTCTGCCTTGCAAGCACAAGGAGTCGAGTTCAATCCCCAATACCAAAACAAACAAACAAACAAACAACAAAAATAAAAAAGTTCTAGGAAAGAGATTTTCTTAAACCAAAGGGGCCTAATCTGGAGGTCTCTGTGCTACAGACAGTGGAACAGGGAATGGCACCAAACCAGTGTGCATTGCCCTGAGAGGAATGAAACTTTCAAAGTGAGTGCTGATGGGAGGATGAGGTAGTGATAGTCTCACTCTGGAATAGCTGCGGCAAAGGATGTAGCCTTCTTCCAGAGAAAAGTGAGAAAGAGGACAATGGGGATGGACAATGAGCAAAGAATAAGATCATGGCACACAGAGGAAGGATTAGTATCGCTCACCTTGAGTTAGAAATAAGCAACAGGACAAAGAGGGTGTACATCCAGGATCTTTAAGCAAAGAAGGCAGCATCTCATGCACATGCCTTGAAGGACATTAGGTAGCCTGGGAAAGGACTAGCCAACAAGTCCTTACAGAGTCAGTTGACATAGACAGACCTTAGGAATAAAAGGAAGGTTATTGTGGAAGTTTTATTTTTGTGGCCATGAATACTTTGATATTCTACTTTTTAAGCAGTAGGATCTCTGTCTTCTTTCTTTGAACCTCTACAGGCTTGTGTCTCATCTGTACCCCCAAAGGATATGGTAGAAGTACAAGGTGTGATAAAAAATATGATTAATGTTATTTTTAAATTTTTAAAAACATTTATTACAGTAAAAGACATATTGGCATTTATCTCCTTCAAAATATTCCCCCTCACTTCAGACATACTTATCTTACTGTTCTTGCCACTTTCTAAAGCAGTTCTGGGAGTCTTGGGTTCCTCATCATCTACTAAACTTTCTTCTCCACACTTCCTTGAGCCATACATACTATCCTTGTTCTTATCCAAATCAATGTACCAAATAGGAGAAATAAAAACAGTCATAATAACAGTATCATTTATTGTGTTCACTGAGTACTCTTCTAAAAGCTTTGTATGAATTAACTTATTTAATTCTTGCAGCAACTGTATGAGATAAACACTATTTTTATCCTCACTTTCATAGACGAGGCTGCTACTTGGAGATTAAGAGTCACACAATTAGTGAGTGGTGAAGGTAGAATTTGAATCTATGCTGTACATTTCAGCCATTACACACTACTAATGCTGCAAAAACATCAAGTCTTAAAAGCCTTAAACAGAACTCTACCTAACAATTAAAATGTGAATTGAATTAGGCCTGAAATTTTTTGATTCAGTCTCCTTCATGACTTCACCATTTTCTCCCTGTCTTCAGAGGAATTATGCTGCATTTCTCTCCTACACTTCAGGGAACTGAGATGTATGCCAATAAAGCAGACCTAGTCTCCACAATGGCTTTCCTCCTCTCTACCTTAATGACCCTTCCAGATTAGTCAAGACTCTGTCAGTTAGAAGTAACAGAAACCTAACCTAAACTAATTTAAGACAAATGATGGGAGGGAATTTATTGACCTAGAACCTGGAAAATCCAGGGAACAGAGTTAGATTTAGCTAGGCTAGATTCAGGAGTTTAAACAATATTTTCAGCTTTCTCGGCCTCCCTCCCTCTCTCTCCTCTACCCTCATGCCTTCCTGCTTTTTTTACCCATACTTCTTGCATCTTCCAGAATTCACCCTCAAGTTCTCATTGATAGGTTCAAAACAGCTATAGCTCTACCCTTAGATCCTGCCTTCTCATCTATCAGAGCAAAAATAATAGTCTCTCCTCAAACTTCTAGAAGAAAAAACACAGAGAGGAATATAATTGTCCTGACTGGGGTCCTGGCTTGTTAGTGAACCAATCACTGTAGCTTACGAGATGGGCTAGTTTGTTCCCAAGGTCTCCAGCAGTCAGCATCAGTGCCACTCAAGCCCCATGAACTCGCTTCCCTTGGGTCAGGCAGGAGAACTCTCATAGTCCAATCAAGTTTGTGATGAGGGGAAATGAAGGCACAGTCATATGGTATTAAAGCTGACATGTCTGAGGCCCGGTAGGGAATGGTGTAAGTTAAGATGGATAAGTTAAACAAGGCAATGTCTTTCTCACAGGAACATTTTCAGAGGAGATATAAGAAGGAGAACTAGACAGAAAAAATAAGAGCTGACCGTTCATCTCTCTTCACTCATCTCTGGAAACCCCTAATCCCCACTGCAGGCCCAGCTACTCCTTTAACTTTTGGACTCACCTTGTTCTCCAAAAGATAAAAATGAAACTGTATTTATCTTCAGGAGAAACAATTTTTTTTCATGAATAAACTGAGAATTGTTTATTGAACATCTACCTTTCCATCTCTAAAAAGAACGAGAAAGGCAAACCCCTGCTCTAGAAGTTTCCCCATTTATAATACAGTAGGGCAAGCACTAATTCTGATCACTATGAGCCTTCAATTCACCTCTCAAACTGTGCAGATACTGATTTTGTCTGTAAACACAAATATAATCTTTTATTATGGACATCATTTTTTGAATACTGATAATGGGTACTTTTAAGTCTGTATGTGGACAAGAAATATTCTTTGCATTCTATGTATTTTGTTTTCCATTTCAGTTTTTCTAACATACCCTCCATGGTTCTGTTCATCCCCTTGGCCTTTTCTGTAACGTTTTGTGACAGTTTTCCATTACTCTTTACTGTTGTCCTTGCCACTCATTCCTCTTTGCCACAGCCTGGTCATCTGAGCTTTCCCATCTTCCCTTTCCTGGCTTCTTATCCACTTCGGTGTCTAATGTTAGCACCTCCTCAAAGTTAGGTTTTCAATAAATATAACTCATCAGCATTTCTGATCAGTATTTCTTTAAGCTTTTTGGTGAGCTTCAGATCTTCACTCTAACAATATTCTTTCAGAATGCTATTCAGAAATAATATCTTCAAGAAGTTATCTCTTAAGGGTTTTTGTCATAATGTTGCATTAAGAAACTGATAAAGAGACACATAATTCTAAAGAAATACATAACTCAGCAAAGGTTGCTTCTACTGTATTGTCAACTCCCACCATGACAAATAATTGGATTTTGCAAGAATACTGTTGAAACTATTTAGCTCAGTGGTGCTGCTCCTGCCTGGCAAGCGCAAGGTCCTGAGTTGGATCCCTGGTACTGGGAAAAAAATTGGTATGGGACATTACTTTATGCACATAATGGTTAGATCAAGAAATTAAAGTTTTGGTTTTTTGATATTGAATTAAAATTTGTATGACACATTAAGGTTGAAAACTTAAAATGTAAATGATAAAGATAGGTAAGTATTCAATGGCATGTCTACTATACTTATCATAAAATGTATATTTAAGAATCAAACTATATGTGAGTCTATAAGACACTATCAAGCAAACTGCCATCTATTATCCACAAACAATCCTTCTACACTTTTAACTCAAAGACAATTATGTAACACTTAGGAAATTTTAATTTTCTAAATATACTCAGAAAAAATTATCAGCATTATCTTCCAGGTAAAAAATTCAGTTGCATAATCCATTTACCACAAATCAACTCCCTACGTGTATTGTGAGGCAGCAGTCAACCACCATATAACTTTCTGCAGTGGTAGTACTGCCCATTCATAACCACTTCCTCTTCACATGAAGAGCATGAAGAAGAACAAGGGACAAAGAAGTCACTTTTCATTGTTTCACTGACTTTTGTTGTTTTCACTGTATGTTACATGCCTGATTTCACCTTTACAACCAAAATAAAAAGCAATTTTTATTCTGAAAGGTAACTGTACACTCCCAGTAGCAGGCATTAGCAACTTCCAACATGATCTCTAGGGATAATTCGCAGTTCTGAACCATGCTTTAGAAAAACATTTCCAGCAGTCTGTTCAGGATTTATTCCTATTCCATCATTGGTAATAATTGCACTTGTTGCTGCAGGAACTTTAAGTTCTTCAGCTGCAAACTTTAAGACTGCTGTGAAAAGTGTACTTTGAGGAACACTGAATACTTTGTAGGGCAGCCGCGGGTCCAACGTCAGCATGATCTTAAAGGAAACCTTCGACATGGTGGACCCGGCCTGGACAGACACGCCACCGTAGCTCGGCCTACCAGCCCACTTCCTGGGCAGTCCAGGAGAATCAACTTTAAGAAAAGCTTGTAGAGACCATGCTTTGACATTGTTCCACAGGTCTAGTAATTCTGCTTATTTTCAAGAAGCTGCATGGCATCCCAGTTTCCCCAGCCTAGCCCAGTGACAACCCATCCTCCCACAGATGGGAACACCTACCAAGGAAACTCAGTCTAGTGGCCACAGGTCCAGGTGTTGTGGAAGCTGAATCTAGAAAGCAGGAGGAAGTCGAGATGATTATTTCTCTCTCTTGTATGTCCAACTCACTATCTCTCTCAGGGTTGGCTTCCCCCACATACTTATCTGTGGCCAAAAATGGCAAACAATCCACAAAGTCTACAGAAGTTTTCATTTGGAGAGCACACCATCCACTGACCATGGTCTCTGGTGTTCAGTCAAGTCAGTTTCAAACATCAGTGGTAAAACACAAACTACTGATTCCTATGGATCTGTGAATCAGCCAGGAGTCAAATGACCTCCATGGAGCATCTTTGCTCCACATATGTACATTGTAAGACAAAGCTACAGGGGCAAAAGTTGCCCAGGAGAAATTTTTATCATGAGATAACAGAGGCACAAGGAAATAAACAGAAAACCACAAAGCCTCTCAAAGTCTTGGCTCAGAATTGTACACTGACATTTCTACCTACATGCCATTGGCCAAAATAAGTGACATGGCAAGCCCAAAGTCCAGAGTGAGAAATCACTCTCTGCACATAATGAGACCATAAAAGGACGCAGATGCAAATAAGGGTGAAAGGATGGGGCTAATAACTAAATCTTCCATGATGAAAATCTGATTGGTTATCTCTGCTTTATAGGATCAGAATCAAAGCACCTAATTCCAGTCAATTAGATGTGATCAGAGGGAAAATAGGAGCATCCTGTGGATGTAGGGTGAAAGGCTAGGGTGGAATAATTTAATTAGAATACAAAGTGATTATAGAAAAAACATTACTGACGTGACTATTATAATGATTTTCACTTTCCAATGGACAAAATTCTTCTCCACAGATGAACAGTGTGTGTTTGAGAAACCAGAGGCTCTTTCATGTTTCAAAGAAGAAAAATCAAAAGGCTCACATTCACTGTAATTTTACCTATTTATTTCTAAATTTATTTTAGGCTATTTTTTGAGCGGTTGATTATACCTGCCCTTCCTCACTCATGGAACCTCTTGGAGAAATATGTGAACTATTACAATATGCTTTGAAAACTTAACAATAAATAAATGAGTATTGTTATTTATCATTACCCAGGTAAATATTCTGTCTTTGGCTAAGATTCCAAGAGTAGAATTATTGTAAAGCTGGGGTTTATTTCCTCTGTGATACCACTTTTAGACTAGGTCTTACCTTAATAAAGATTATCAATTGGTGTGATATGAAACCTTAACTATTATCTTGATTGGATTGAGGAAAACCTAGGACATAAGTAAATCACACTTTTGAGTGTGTCTATTAGAGTGTTTTTGGAGACAGTTGGCACGTGGGGCATCAAATTGAGGGGGGAGACCCACCTCTAATGTGGACAGTACCATGGGTAGAGGGCCCAGATGGAACAAAAGCAGAAGGAAGCCCACCAGCACAAGTTCTCAGCCTCTTGCACCTCTCTGCTTCCTGACTAACATGAGGTGAGTAGCTCTGATCTACCATGCTCTCTCTCATGGTGTTCTGCCTCATCAGAGGCCCACAACAGTGACTGACTACAGAACACAGATTGAAACTTCTGAAACTGAGCCAAAATAAACCTTTCTTCCTTTAAGCTTTTTGTATCAGCTCTTTTGTCACAGTGACAAAAATCTGACTAACACAAGTGGTCAGATATGTTTTGTCTCCCATTCATTATTTATCTCCTGCTTAGGTATCACCTCTTCCGCACAGTCTTTCACAACCTCACTCTCAAGACCAATTTGATTCCCCTAATTTGTGCTTTTACAAACTCCTATACTCCCCCCTCATATGCTTTTGTATTCATGTTTTACCTGTACATTTTCCCCATCCACTTTCCCAGTCTTTAAAGTAGGGAGTCTTTCATTATTATACAGAGCATTGAACCTAAGATGCAGAAGAAGCCCAATAGCTGTCTGAAGACTGAATGACTGAGCCCAAAGTCAAGTGTCCCTGAAGTCACCATCACTGAGTGACCTTGAGCAACTAGTCTTCCCTCTTTCAACTGTAAGGTGAAGCACTTCTTTTTTTTTTTTTTTTTTTTTTTTTTGGTGCTCAGGATTGGATCCAGAGACTTCACAATGATCTATACCCTCAACCCCTTTTTTATTTTTTATTTTGAAACAGGATCTCATCAAGTTACTAAGTTGTTCAAGTCACTAACCTGCAACCCTCCCTCAGGCTCCCAGGTTCTGGAATCACAGGCATGAGCCCTCCACTTCCAACTTGAAGGTGAAGCACTTTAACAAGTTAGCTAGTTCTCAATCTCAATGATCATCACTACTTAGAGTATCTTCTGAGGTTTATTGTCAGTATTATAAAATTTTGACATATTCAAAGATTTACTTTTTGTGGCAAAATGATGTCCCACTGGCAGCACAGGAAGGACTTTTAAGACAGTGAAACTACCCTGTGTGATGCTATAATGGCAGATATAAATCATATGATCTTCAATTGAAATATATGCTAAAAGATTAAATAGCAAATCATTACATTAAAAAACACATTGTCATTAAATCCCCTCAAAATAATCCCCCTTGCTTCAAACACACTTATCCCATCATTCTTGCCATATTCTTTAGCAGTTCCAGAAGTCCTTTTTCATGAGTGTCTTTATTAGGTGTGATTAAAAAAATGGAAAATGCTGCTGCTGAGTGCCATCCAATAGAAAAGCAGATTCATGAAAACATTACAGTGTGTTCTCATCTACCTTATTCATTGATCTGGCACCATGTGACTTTTGACTCTTCTTTAAAATGAAAATGATTATGACAAGTAAATATTTTCTTTTAGTTCTTTTATTGGTACATTTTAGGTATACAATTCATTTACATTTATCATTGGGTGTTTGTACCTGTACTTGATATATCTTGGTTCTTATTTTTTTCCCCCATTACCTGTGCACCATTCACCCCCTCCACCCTTCACTATTTACATAGATTTCATTTCCTTTTTTTTTTCTTTTCTCATAGGTTTTCATTTCCCTCTTTTCCTCTCCCCTTCTCCTCCCTTCACTCCTTTGTCTTTGGACCTTTGTTCCTATTTCAAATTATCAATTATTCATTTTAATCATTTTAACCCTTGTTTACACTATCAGTTTCTCACACTAGTGAAACTTTTACAGTATATACACATGTGTGTCCTATTTATTTCACTTAAGAGTATGGCCTCGATATGCATCCATTTAGCTAT